GTTTGTTGGTGGTGGAAAATGTTTCAAGGGTCTTGTTTTGCTATACTGGCTCCTGACTGCTTATAATGTGCTTGTATTGCTGTGTGTGGGGGTGAACCGGTACCTGTTTGCTGCCTGGGCTTTTGTTTAGGGGTCTCACCCCCTCTATGGGTGAGCCAGGGGAAGAGATCCTCTCAGTTTTGGAGAGTTTTAGCTATTCTTGGAACATCCAGGCCAGTGTGCTTGCAGCACTGTGCTTTCTGGGTATCTGACAGATGTTGTTTTGGGCCATGTGGCACTTCTCTAACAATAGCAGTACCTGGAAACCTGCCCCGAGGTCAGATAATAGTGAGTGGCAAGGGGTGTGGGAAAAGTTGGGCAAAGGTCTGGGTCAGTGGTCACCCCCAACATTTTGGAATTTCATTCCTAAACAAATGCAGAGCCCTAATAAAGTGGCAAAGTGCTTAGAAAAAGGGTGTGTTGCCCATCTGACAAAACCCAACAGAACACACAACTTGCTGCAATGTGTTGGGGACTTGCCCATGCCTACTGTGTCCTTTTTAACACTACTCACTGCCCTCAAGGGGGAGAAACAGCTGCAGGGTCTGAAAGTGAACGAACTTGTACAGCAGTTGGGCCGGGGGGACAGGAAGAGTCAGTATCAGTCGCCTCCACCAGCACAAGCAGCTGAGCCAGAGAGACAGCCAGTGCAGGTATCAGTTGCCCCAATACAGAAAACTAAAATCCCTACTCAGTCCGAGAGTGGGAGAGACATAATGACAATGTGGTCTCTAGTCCCGGCAGGGCCTAAACTACCACACCACTCTTTCTGTGGAAAAACTTTTTCTTAATGTCCCATCTGAACCTCCCATGTTGGAGTTTAAAGCCATTCTCTCTTGTTCTAGAACTAATTACCTGTGAGAAGAGACCAGCACCAACCTCTCTACAATGTCCTTTCAGGTAGCTGTAGAGTGTGATGAGGTCTCCCCTCAGCCTTCTCTGAACTGATCAGTCCCAGCTCCTTCAATCGCTCCTCTTAGGATTTATTCTCCAGATCCTTCACCAGCTTCGTTGCCCTCCTCTGCACTCGCTCCAGCACCTCGATATCTCTCTCGTATTGAGGTGCCCAAAACTGGACACAATACTCCAGGTGAGGCCTCACCAATGCAGAGCACAGGGGCACTATCCCCTCCCTACTTCTGCTGGTCACACTATTTCTAATACAAGCCAGGATGCCGTTGGCTTTCTTGGCCACCTGGGCACACTGCTGGCTCATGCTTAGCTGCTTGTCAGTTAGAACCCCCAGATCCTTTCCTTCCAGACAGCTCCAGCCACACCTCCCCAAGCCTGTAGCCATGCAGGGGGTTGTTGTGGCCCACGTGCAGGACCTGGCACTTGGCTCTGTTGAAGCTCATCCTGTTAACATTGGCCCGCTGACCGAATCTATCCAAGTCTCTCTGTAGAGCCTCCCTGTCCTCATGCAGATCGACACTCCTGCTTAACTTGGTGTCATCTGTGAATTTACTGATGACACCCTCCATGTCCTTATCAAGATCATCAATAAAGATGTTGAACAGAAATGGTCCCAATATCGAGCCCTGAGGAACACCACTTGTGACCAGCCTCCAGCTGGATTTAACTCCACTGACGACCATTATCTGGGACCAGCCAGCCAGCCAGCGCTTGATCCAGCAGACTGTATGCACATCCAGGCCATGAACAAACAGCCACTCTTAACATGAGAATTCTATGGGGAACTGTTTTGAATGATTTTTGAAAATCCAGGTAGATAATATCGACAGCTTCTCCCTTACCCAACAGTCAGGTCATTTTGTCATAGAAGGAGATAAGGTTCATCAGACAGTACCTGCCTTTTATAAACCCACGCTGACTAGGCTGATTGTCCCTGACCATGGCAGGGGGTTTGGACTAGATGACTTTTAAAGGTCCCTTCCAACCCAAATGATTCTATGGTTCTGTGATTTTATGGCTGAAATGCTGGGGTTTCAACCCCAAGCCCCAAATTAAGGTTGACATAGGGGTGATTCCCACAGCCCTTCACAAAAGGGGTGTGAGTTACCTTTAAGCTTCCCTCCAGGGTGCAGCCGGCCTGGCAGGGAGAGCCATTAGGTAAATGAGCCCCAGGTGTCCCACATTAAGTAAACAAGGGTCAGGTGTCCCACTTGGGGATAAAAGCTGGGACCCCTTGCAGGAAGGGGCAGTGTCTGTCTGTGGGGTGGATGCAATTTGCAGAGTTTCCTGTTGGGGAAGGACCTCCTGCCTCCCTGGGACTGGGCTCCAGTCAGGTCTGGCTTTTTTAAACATGGGCTGTGTAGAGATTCAGTATGTGGCTTCCTTGGTCTTATGTATTTGGTTTGTTGACTCGGTTGTCTTTTGTCTCTTCTAGGAAAGACTGCATTTCACCATTTATTCCACTTGTTGTTGGTTGTGGGGTGTTGTTGTTGGGGTCAGTGGGATTGATGTTGATTATGTATAATCTGACTTGTTTGTACCCCCAGTGCTCACCCATGTACTGACCCTTTTGTATCAAATACAACTTGGTTATTGGTTCATCTTTATGCTGGCTGTGTCCTTTATGCTAGGCCTAAGAATTGGCAAAACGTTCCCTGAGCAGGGACCTGTTTTATATCTCTCTGATCTCTTGGGTTCCCTCCTTCTGCCTGGTAACAAAAGGGTGAGGGATTGCTTGCCTCTTTTCAAGCCTACATTTGCTCCTTTTGCTTCAAGGTGTGAAGGTGCTACTCCACTGATCAATTGCCTTTTTACACTCCCTAATACTTCTTGATCTTTCAACCTTTTCTTTGAGCTCAGCCACCAGGCTGAGCAGGTCATCCAGCTGATCACAACACATACAGGTATTGTCACTGCTGCTCTCTGACATGACTGACAGCTCAGGCATTCTCTACAGCCTGAACTTGAACTACTGCATGTTTGCATGGCAGCTCCATCTGGGTTGCCACATTCTTTCAGCAAATGGTCTCTGGAATAATCTCCTCAGGGAAGTGTGGATTCCCCAACATTGGACAGTTTTAAGATTCAGCTGGGCAGGGTGCTGGGCCATCTTGTCTAGACTGTGCTTTTGCTAAGAACAGTTGGACTAGATAATCCTTGAGGTAACTTCCAACCTGGTATTCTATGACTCTACTATATGAAAGATGGGGACAGACTTTTTAATAGGGCCTCTAGTGATAGGACAATGGGTAATGGTTTTAAACTGAAAGAGGGTACCTTCAGACTGGATATAAGGAGGAAATTTTTTTATGATGAGGGTGGTGAAACACTGGAACAGGTTTCCTGGACAGGCTGTGAATGTCTCATCTCTGGAAACATTCAAGGCTAGGTTGGATGGGGCTCTGAGCAACCTGATCTAGTTGAAGATCACAGAATCACTCAGGTTGTAAAAGACCCTTGGGTTCATTGAGTCCAAGCGTCAGCCCTACTCTACAAAGTTCTCCCCTACACCATATCCCCCAACAACTCATCTAAACAACCCTTAAACACATCCAGGGATGGTGACTCCACCCCCTCCCTGGGCAGCCTATTCCACTGTCTGACCACTTGTCCTGGTTCAGCTAGGATAGGGTTAAGTTTCCCCAGCAATGGGAAGGGATATCCAGCCGGGTTATTCAATACCATGCTGATGTCAGGTCTGGCGCTGAAGCATGGGAAGAGTTTACTGTGGGCTTTTGTCCAGGGAAGCACATGTGGCGGCTCCTATGTCCCTTGCAGTATTTCTCTGTATATATTTTGTCTTGTTTACTGGTTTTTACTGTTTGTTGTTGTCAGATTTTTATTTATTACAGTGTTGTATTAAATCTTCCTTATTTCAACCCTGGGGTTTGTGCCTCATTTCAGCCCTTCTCTGTCTGAGGGTGGGGGAGGGACAATAGCAACGTGGCCTCCAGTCCCGGCAGGGCCTAAACTACCACAGCCTTTTTTGGCACCCAACTTGGGGCATGAGAAGATTGAAATAATCAAAAAGGGACTGACCCTGAATAGAGTGTGTTAGAGCAATCTGTTAGGTGCAATTTTTTCTGTTCATATTTGTATTGCTTGATAAGAAAATATTTACAATGCTGGGCCACTTGCTTTTGTGGTGGGGCTGGATTAATCCTTCTATCCACTGTGTGTTCCCAGTGATGGTGTTTGTTGGTGGTGGAAAATGTATCAAGGGTCTTGTTTTGCTATACTGGCTCCTGACTGCTTATAATGTGCTTGTATTGCTGTGTGTGGGGGTGAACCGGTACCTGTTTGCTGCCTGGGCTTTTGTTTAGGGGTCTCACCCCCTCTATGGGTGAGCCAGGGGAAGAGATCCTCTCAGTTTTGGAGAGTTTTAGCTATTCTTGGAACATCCAGGCCAGTGTGCTTGCAGCACTGTGCTTTCTGGGTATCTGACAGATGTTGTTTTGGGCCATGTGGCACTTCTCTAACAATAGCAGTACCTGGAAACCTGCCCCGAGGTCAGATAATAGTGAGTGGCAAGGGGTGTGGGAAAAGTTGGGCAAAGGTCTGGGTCAGTGGTCACCCCCAACATTTTGGAATTTCATTCCTAAACAAATGCAGAGCCCTAATAAAGTGGCAAAGTGCTTAGAAAAAGGGTGTGTTGCCCATCTGACAAAACCCAACAGAACACACAACTTGCTGCAATGTGTTGGGGACTTGCCCATGCCTACTGTGTCCTTTTTAACACTACTCACTGCCCTCAAGGGGGAGAAACAGCTGCAGGGTCTGAAAGTGAACGAACTTGTACAGCAGTTGGGCCGGGGGGACAGGAAGAGTCAGTATCAGTCGCCTCCACCAGCACAAGCAGCTGAGCCAGAGAGACAGCCAGTGCAGGTATCAGTTGCCCCAATACAGAAAACTAAAATCCCTACTCAGTCCGAGAGTGGGAGAGACATAATGACAATGTGGTCTCTAGTCCCGGCAGGGCCTAAACTACCACACCACTCTTTCTGTGGAAAAACTTTTTCTTAATGTCCCATCTGAACCTCCCATGTTGGAGTTTAAAGCCATTCTCTCTTGTTCTAGAACTAATTACCTGTGAGAAGAGACCAGCACCAACCTCTCTACAATGTCCTTTCAGGTAGCTGTAGAGTGTGATGAGGTCTCCCCTCAGCCTTCTCTGAACTGATCAGTCCCAGCTCCTTCAATCGCTCCTCTTAGGATTTATTCTCCAGATCCTTCACCAGCTTCGTTGCCCTCCTCTGCACTCGCTCCAGCACCTCGATATCTCTCTCGTATTGAGGTGCCCAAAACTGGACACAATACTCCAGGTGAGGCCTCACCAATGCAGAGCACAGGGGCACTATCCCCTCCCTACTTCTGCTGGTCACACTATTTCTAATACAAGCCAGGATGCCGTTGGCTTTCTTGGCCACCTGGGCACACTGCTGGCTCATGCTTAGCTGCTTGTCAGTTAGAACCCCCAGATCCTTTCCTTCCAGACAGCTCCAGCCACACCTCCCCAAGCCTGTAGCCATGCAGGGGGTTGTTGTGGCCCACGTGCAGGACCTGGCACTTGGCTCTGTTGAAGCTCATCCTGTTAACATTGGCCCGCTGACCGAATCTATCCAAGTCTCTCTGTAGAGCCTCCCTGTCCTCATGCAGATCGACACTCCTGCTTAACTTGGTGTCATCTGTGAATTTACTGATGACACCCTCCATGTCCTTATCAAGATCATCAATAAAGATGTTGAACAGAAATGGTCCCAATATCGAGCCCTGAGGAACACCACTTGTGACCAGCCTCCAGCTGGATTTAACTCCACTGACGACCATTATCTGGGACCAGCCAGCCAGCGCTTGATCCAGCAGACTGTATGCACATCCAGGCCATGAACAAACAGCCACTCTTAACATGAGAATTCTATGGGGAACTGTTTTGAATGATTTTTGAAAATCCAGGTAGATAATATCGACAGCTTCTCCCTTACCCAACAGTCAGGTCATTTTGTCATAGAAGGAGATAAGGTTCATCAGACAGTACCTGCCTTTTATAAACCCACGCTGACTAGGCTGATTGTCCCTGACCATGGCAGGGGGTTTGGACTAGATGACTTTTAAAGGTCCCTTCCAACCCAAATGATTCTATGGTTCTGTGATTTTATGGCTGAAATGCTGGGGTTTCAACCCCAAGCCCCAAATTAAGGTTGACATAGGGGTGATTCCCACAGCCCTTCACAAAAGGGGTGTGAGTTACCTTTAAGCTTCCTTCCAGGGTGGTGCCGGCCTTGCAGGGAGAGCCATTAGGTAAACGAGCCCCAGGTGTCCCACATTAAGTAAACAAGGGTCAGGTGTCCCACTTGGGGATAAAAGCTGGGACCCCTTGCAGG